TGCAATTTTGGGCACCTGTCCTAAAGAAGGATATTATGGCACTAGAAAAAGTGCAGAGATGGGCTACAAAATTAATAAAAGGAATGGAACATTGTAGCTACGAAGAAAGGTTAACAAATTTAAACCTCTTTAGTTTATAAAAATGGTGCCTCAGAGGAGATATGATAACATTATACAAATATATCCAAGGCCAATACAAAACATTATCTGGAAATCTATTCATAAACAGGACTATACAGAGGGTACAAAGTCATGCGTTTAGACTAGAAGAAAGAAGATTTTGTCTAAGGCTAAGAAAATGTTTTTTACCTTAAGAACAATAAGAATGTGGAATTATCTGTGTGAAGAAGTGGTTTTATCAGAGTCTGTACAGGTGTTTAAACAGCAACTACTGCAGCTACTTGCAAAAACATAATATTCAATGAAATCATATTTCATATTTCAACTGTAGGGTAATAGCTTTTTGATCCAAGGATTAATCTGACGGCCATTCTGGAGTCAAGAAGGTTTTTTTTCCTTTTTTGTTGTAAATTTGGAAGTACGTCAAACTGTTTTGTCTTTTTTTGCCTTCTTTTCGATCAACAGCAAAAAAACAATGTGATGCTGAACTTGATGGACACGTCTCTTTTCAGCCTATGTACCTATGTACACAATGCATACAATACCTACACTGCATTCCATGCACAGACACTGCATCTACTCACACTGCATAACAAAATGGTTTTGGTGTGGGTGGGGCAGTATTTCTTCCTTGGATCCAGGAAGCACAATGACTTAAGCACCTCCTGCTAATTAATTCCACATATAATATTTTGAGGCTGTAATCCACAAGCCCTGCATACTAGTGGCCTGGGGACATTTGTCCCGCTGTCCCCTTCGCCAGCTCTTCCATGCTTATATATGAATTTCAGATATGATATCGGACATCAATCCTCTTTTCCTCCAAATGTACTGAGAGGTGGAACTACAGGCCATGCAGCCACAGGGCAAACTAGATTAATGGACATTTCAAATTATTCATGAAATGCTATAATGAAAATAGATATCTGGTAGTGTTTTAAAGGAGGAGGTTGGCAGCTGCCATTCCATAAGAGAAAGAGGGAGAGTGGCCTTATGTCACCCTTACAGATTACATTTAGTTCTTGCAGTAGTTTGAGCATTTCTACATCCTATAAAACATCATTATGATCGAGGTTTGAGGGAGTTAGCTACCATAATAGCACAGTGAAATACCGGACTAGACAGTTTCGATGTGAATGAGTGTTGATCTCGGGAAACGTTGGGTTCCATTTTGTGGAGATATAACAATTGTTGCCATTCATTTAAGATGCAGACATGATATTAATACAGCATGGAACCCTTGTAATTACCTACAAAGCCCATGGACTAAGGCATAAACCAAACAAGTTCCCCAACAAGTTCATCCAGCAATATATGGTCAGGAGGAGAAATAACCCTTTTTAGATACCTGCTAAAATCTGGCTTCTGGTTAGACTTCCAATAATGCTGAACAGAGGCATGCCTATTTAGGAGGGTCAGTCCCCTAAATTCCCTCTGTCCCTCTTTTCTAGGAGCTCCATATTGTTGGTGTGGCTGAGTGTATCACAGGGTTCTACAGCAATAACACTCCCAGTAATGTGTCTTTAAACTGCAATACATGTGTTTAGAAATCAGACTGTGTGAATAAGATACATTGTTATTGTTTAAATCACATTTTTAGTTGCATAAATTGTTTTAAGTAATTTACCAAAAAAAATTCTCCGAACAGCCCTGCCCCTGGTCACCCCCCCACTCAAACCCCTAAAATTAAAGTGTCCCTTTTTGTCCATTTGAAATGTTGGAAGGTATGGTTCCGAAGCCAATCTATACATCGTAGCTATGATACAAACAGCAGCAGAGTACTCCAGCAGTACTTTCTCTATTTATTATATTACAGAGTTACAGTCAACAGACTGTGAGACCCCTAAATCCAGGCACCAGACACTTTGCCATCAGTTCAATCTGCTGTCTCTAAGAATGTTCTGTCAGCTGGCACATTCGATAGATCATTTATATGCCCCAGTCCTGGAACTCCTCCGTAAAATGTCTCAGTGTTTAATGGGTAGGCACCGAGCAGAAGCCGGTCGTGTGTCTAGGAATACCCATCAATCCAAATAGAATAAATTAATAAATGTTAAGCAAACAATTGACTAAGCTGTTTTTGATAGCAACCTATCTCTCATTTGTCAGCTTCCCTTAATTACAGTGTACATTATACTTTAAAAATCAATACAAACTTGCATAGGCAATCAGTAATTAAATTGCACTGAACTATCTTTACATGTATCAGAAAAGCACTAATTTTTTAAGTTTCTTTACTGCGGTAGAAGGTAGATAATAGTTTAAAGTATGAAATCCATGAAGATTGTGCTTGAGACTATATAAGTTTGCAAACTGCATTTTCCTATAAGCTGGCAAAGTATTATGAGAAATGTAGAGTGTGAACAGCTTAAAAAAGCAAAGATAAGCCCTCACAGGAGATACTCATTTCAAATATTACTGGCCCTTTAAGAGTAAGCTGGGTAGCTTGATCTAACTCATAGCATGCAGGCTAACAGGGACAACCGGCAATTGTGTTTCTTTGTAGTTCTCATCCTCGGAATGCGCCGTTTTTGTTACTGTATCTTTAAATGCTGGGTGTTTAGAGCAATCTAAACCCTCGGAATGAGCATAGCCAATTCTGGGGACGAGAATCCAACGACACTTTTCAGATTCCTGCGTATTTTTCATTTATTTTTCAATCTGCTGGTGAGTGAGAATACTTCACAGGAGGTTATCAAATGTGTCAGGTTTACACATCAGTTCACTTTGGGTATAATAAATCAGAAGGAAATTCTCCGAGCCGCAAGTTAGATATCCAACCGACTGAGGAGAGAGAGCGAAGCAATGGAAGAAAAGACATTTTTTTTTATTTATCTTCATTCCCCTAATATCTAAAAAAAATAAAGAAATGTGAAATATATCAGTTTTTTTTTTACCTAATAGGTAAAAGCTACTGACAGGATATGCAGATGACTCCCATCATGCATGGCAGGATAAACCATAAGTCAACCATAGGAACCAGGAATTTGGTTGGCCCCATAGACTATGAATGTGAAGAATGGATGGGGGCCCAAACTGGTAACCTGCCTTGGGCCCCATGGTGGGATCTTAGCCCTTCTTTCTATCATAAACCAACAGGCATTAACCGTTAGGGGGTCAGAGTTGCCGTGTATCAGAACAGGCTTAGAGAGGAAATACATAGTCATTCTTCGAGAGCCCATTATAAGTCAACAGTGCATTTCTATTTATGTTAGTGCTGCGAATAGACACTCTAGAAGGCAATTTGGCACCACATTTTCAACACTTCATTATTTTCATAAATCAATTTAGCGTTATGAACTTTCGCTAACCTTAACTTTACAGCCACCTTAGAAAATTCTACTAAAGCTTTTACAATGTTACTAATGCTTGCAAAGAACTGCAGCAGGATTCACGTTAGTAAAACATTATTTGTAAAGACAAGCATGCAATGAAAAAGCAGAACAAGCTACAACAAAATTAGATAATTAGATAATTATCTATTATAAATTAGGTTACTGGGACAGTATAGTATTTAGTGCTGCAAATACAAGTGCAATGTGCCTAACACAATGTATGCTGTATCCCTCTCACAGACTATCTTCTGACTACAGCAACAACCCCCATATATGTTTCTGCCTGATTATTGGGATACTGTCAGAGCTTAATTAGAGACTTATATTCATTTTGACATGCCTCTTTGTCCCTACCTAAATGTAACCCTAAATGGAAACCTAGCAACACTAACCCTAACCAACCCTTAACCTAACTAGAAACATAGAAACATAGAATGTGATGGCCAGTGACTTATTTACCGCAAAGCTGACAAGGCATTTGCCGTGGGTGGCACTATCCAGGGGGAGGCACAAAATGCCACCCCCCAATGCCCAGGTGTAACGGACGGTTTCAGCACACAAGGGGTTAAAACCGTTTAGGCGATCAACCCCTTCCAGAGATACAGGCACAGCTACTGCAGAACACCAATCCGCCGAACAGGAAACCATATGAATGCTGTAAACAGCAGAATAGGAAAAACCATATGAATAGGTTTACACTCCTAGCAGTCAAACTGGAACAGCATACAATAAATCCCCCCAAGAACAAGACAAAGCTCCGTGTTGAGGGTCAAGCAGTGAACAGTCAGAGCTGTGGGTTTATTGTGCTTATGTACACATTCTTACACATTAGTACCCACAGGGTTTTGGAACACAACCAATAAACACATACAATACACTCAGACACTCCCACACAAATTCCTCCCCTCTGCTTGTGATTCAATTACCTTACACAATGGGTAATGTAATTTAGCACAAGCAGAGAAATACAATTTTTCCACATTATTCATAACTTGAAAAGTATGCATCGCATTCACATAAAACATACATTACATTACATTTTCAGAATCAGCATACTCCAAATACAAACATACGTCAAAATCATACAAATTGGTCCAGTGGTTCAAAAGATAGATTGTAGTCCTTTGTGACCACAGGAAGCATGGCTTTTCTGCCCAAAACCAGTTCCACAGAGTCTTCTATCCTGGAGATAATTAGAAGTAATCCAATTATCTCAAAAGACAGAGGCAAAACTCCATTGAACACATGGCAGCAAAAAGACAGTAAAATACAATAAAATACACAAGGTTACATTTATGACATAAAATACAGACATGCAACATATGCCCAGATAGCTTAGGTCTGAGCGCACATTATTACTGAATGGCGCTCAGAGCACACACATACAGTTCAATTGCCATGGAGCCAAAGTCTTTCCCATAGTCTTTCATTATACGAATGGGCTCCATGGCATAGCTGTCGGGATCCCGCGGGCGGCTGCGAGGGGGGCTGTACTCACCCTCCAGCCGTCCGCGGTCCCCTCCTCCTCGTGGGTCCGGCGTGGGTCCCCACATTCCAGCCAATCAGCAGCAGACCCTCCCTCCCAGACCCTCCCACCTCCTGGACAGCTCACTAAGAATGCAGCTTCAAAATGGATGCTGTCCAGGAGGTGGGAGGGTCTGGGAGGGAGGGTCTGCTGCTGATTGGCTGGAATGTGTCTGCTGACTGTGAGGTACAGGGTCAAAGTTTACTCAATGATGAGTCGAGGCGAACCGTTCGAGGCGAACCAATCGCGAACCATTCGGCGAACCGTTCGGGACATCACTAACAATAACTCAACGGCAACGAGTTTAAAGAGTTGGGGGTAATAGGAGTCCCATTGACATGCAGGGAGAAAGATGGAGAAAAACTATTTGAGGGTGGAGGAGTTCAGCTTTAGAAAGATCACGTTTTAGAAATGTTTTCCATTGTAGATTCCTGTCATTCAAGAACCAAAGATGGAAACTATTACTAGCTATTTTTATTATTGTTATTATTATTATTATTAGTTCTGTCATTTATATCTCACAATGAGCATAGCGGGAGCATTCGGGGAAGAGAATAAATTCAATAATCTGTTTTTCCTTTTCATCTGCATTGAAAGAAAGCCAAGCATCTTGTGAGAGATGGTTAACACAATTTTAATTTTAATATTTTATTCAGTGGTGTAAAGTTTCACTATCTTTTCCAAGTTCTAGAAGACCCATCTGAACACCCATCAAATTAAGAAGCATATTGCCGTGATGTCCCTTATCAAAATGTACCAGGAGACTGTTTTTTTTTTTTTTTTTTATAATTTCAATTAATATTATAGATGTATTGCTATATGCACTGACATCACAACATGAGTGGACAGCAATATAGATCAGATTGAATGAGTCAACTATGGTTAGACTCTGAGTTTGACAAGGACACGTGGGAGAATCTCACCATTTCATCATGTAAGCTACTTGTATATATATGTTTATTTGGAAAAGAGTTTAAGTAATAAAACTTTTACTTCATATCCACATGGCTTTTCCCTTTCCTCTGTGCTGAAATATATTTAATGCTTGATTGATTCACACTACATTTAAATTTGGTGCAAATTTATACAAGCTTTGAAAAAGTGAATGCATTTTTATAGTTATTAGCTGATCTGCCATCACACGATACATTCTGCGGTAAGTAGCTGTTTTCTATTTCTTTCATATATTTGTTATAAAAATGAAAGCTGGTTAAATAAGTTCTTCTAAGAGACAGTAGGACGCAATATTCAGTACATGATTCAAGAAGGACATTTTGATATATTAAACCAATTTTTGCTCTATTCTGTTCTTTGTTTTTATGTACCTCTGGGAAAGATCCATTTAACGAAGGACAATATATTTTTTTCAAGAATTATCTATGCATGTTACCACCATAGAGGATTAAAAAGAGCTATTCTTTCTGTATCTAGAAAAAGAGCAAGGTTATTTTTTTTATTTTATTTTTTTACTTTCATTTTCTTCTTAAAATTTGCAATTCCTTTGTCATTTATTCACAATACTCAACATAGTGAACAGACTCACTAAGTCACAAAAGTTAAAGCTTCTCGACAAATAGATTTTTTCATGGTCTTATAATAATGCTATACCATGTCGAGTGGAGACAGCTCTCAATAAATCCAGACCCCAGATTTGGTGCCACACAATCTGATGTAACCATGCGCCCACTACAGAATACAAACAAAAAGGACCGTGTTCACAAAACCTCCAGCAATAGTAGATATATTTAAACACTGTAAACAACGTTTCGACTCCAATAAATGTGCTTTTGCCGGATGTTACTTATTCGTTTGTTCATCTATAACAAGGCAATGGTGTATGTTTAAATCTATAATTGCCTATACTCTATTAGAAGTCTAGGGAAACGAGTGCTCCATGGGCACGAGTCAGATGGGCATATTTAAGAGCTAGCCTATGTAATTTTTTTCTTAGGAGTCAAGCAAACGTTCTACACAGTATACTCTGATGCTCCAAAAGGTTTGTATCTGGTAATAATAATTTTAAGAACCCCTGACTAATGGGATTTGTCAAGGCATGTTTTGTACAAGGTATTAAGTGCTTGAAGTGAATTCAGATTCCAGTGCACAACCTATTCAGAAAAAGACTAAATTAAACGACTAATATATTCAAAGATTAAGTCTAAATGAAACATTTGCAACTGTACCATTACTTTTATTGAATAATATATTTCAACATACACAATGCACAATCCCAGTGTCTTGGAAAAAAATTTAACTAAGAGGGAATCGAAAGTATATGAGCGACAAAATACGAATGCCCTATCAAAATCGCATTATGCAGAAAACATAAATATTTGGATTTGGTTTGAAATGATACTGTTAAACTAAGGTGGAGGAAATCAGCAGCATGGAATCCATGACTGCCCAGCTTAATGGAACCTCAGAAAAATGCACATTGATTTGGACCCCATGGATTGACTACATAGCGGGTAGAGAGGCCCATTGAGATTCACTGACCACCTCGCAACAAACTCACCTTAGGGCACATCACTATAATTTGTGGGTGGACCCCTTTCCCCCTAGAGGAGAGACAAGGGGCTAGGCTGAGAGAGCACAGGATACCAGGAACCAGGAGCACAAGGTTATGAGGTAATTGAAGGAAGGAAAGACACACCCTAGGAAGACACTAGAGTTCACCATCCCCAGACATAAATAATTATCAGTGCTTTGGCGAGAATGGAAAATGGAGTGGAGAGGATAAGGGGATATTTAATAACAAATTCAAATAATTCAATATTATTTTGTTTTCCTTTCATCCAATCGTCTTCCAGTTTCCCCCACTATTCTATGATAACGTAAGACATAAACAGTTTTAGAACTGGAGTTTCAATAGAGGATTAGAGATGTCGCGAACCGTCCGCGAACTTCTCCGCATGATGCTGTCCAGGAAGTAGGAGGGTCTGGGAGGGAGGGTCTGCTGGAGATTGGCCGGGACATGTCAGCTGACCGGAGTTTCGCCGCGAACAGCTCGTGGCGAACCGCGGCGAACCGTTCGCGAGAAGTTCGCAGACGGTTCGCGACATCTCTATAGAGGATTAGTCAGGTCGACCCGTAGTTAACAACAAAAACCGGGCAATCACGTTTCAATGCAGGGCGATACCAACCAATTGTATGCCAACTGGAGCATTGGGAGCCAGAGTAATACTAAGATAAGACCTTGATATATTTATCTAGGAGAACAGTTGTATTTGTTTCTGTGCTCCAATGAGGTTATATTATTGAAGTTCAAAGGATGAGATTTATGGAAACATTTTGAAAATGGGTGACTCTCATGGCTCTGGTAAAATAGGATGCATATTAAACTCTGCTCAATTTTCTTGACGTAGAACATTGTACATTTTCACTTTCTGTTCTGGGATTAAGCTCAGTGTGAAAATACATAAAGATTGTAAAAAAAAAAAATATATACTGTTTGGAGTATTGTCAGAGTAATTTACTAAACCAGAAATTATCAGGAATTAGTCAGGGTATTTCTATTTTTTGTGTGAAAATAGCTGAGCTTGAAAAAAGCATTTCCAATTTGGTTATTTTACCTAAAATGTAAATGTAGAACAGTCAGTACTAGACCAATATTGTATGAATTAAAATAATATTACTTGCTGGTTGTGAAAAGAGACTTATTCTTTATCTGTTCTTGCCAAAGTTACTGATAAATTCTAACATTTACTTTGAAATAACTTGTTAAATATAATTGATTAAAATAGTTGCACCAGCTCTGTTCACATACCTGTTTCCACGGATACTTCATATGCATGCCTAAATGACAAGCGGAACTATTTATGCCTAGGCCCTGGGGCCTTATAATACAACGGAGGGATCAGACATAGGAAAATAGGCCTGAAAGCCATACATGGTGACAGAGCATTTCATTACTAATCCTTCTATTTGCATCGAGACTTGACTTGCAATATACATTGTGATCCTTGTCAGCAGGTAGCATGGTCCTCTAGGGCAAAAATATGCACAGTCCTTGTAATTCATATACTCCAGGCACTTTATTTGTAAGTTCACACAGGATACAGCAGTAAAATGAAAACATAAATGTAACAGAAAACCCTATAAACAAAAACCTAGCTCGTCTGAGCACTAACTGACATAAGTTTCCCTATCTCTCAGGGTTACACTAAACAATATTGCACCAACCTTTTAGATAGCAACACTCTGCTATCTAACCTGTTGCTTTCCTTTCTGCACTCCCAGTGCTCCAAGCCAGCTTTGCCCTGACTGCTTTCCTTTCTGCACTCCCAGTGCTCCAAGCCAGCCTTGCCCTGACTGCTTTCCTTTCCGCACTCCCAGTGCCTAGTCTCTTTGACTCTATCTGGAGAGATCAGCCTCTCTCCTACCTGCTTCCTGGGAGGAAGCCAGCAATCCCTCTGCTTTACCTGTCTAGCAAGGAGGAGTTTATTCCCACTGCAACAGCTTATTAACTGCAGCTGAGCAGTGGGTTGGAGACGATCCAAAAAACCCTGGCCTGGATCCATGTCTCCCCAGAAAACCACTAAACTGTGGAGTGGAGCATTGGCCCACCCTTCTCTCCAAATGCTCCACCCCAGGGGCCCATAACTAAACAATGCGTTGTGTTGTGCAAAACACAAACTACACATACTCCCCCTGGGGTTAAAAGGCCTATCTGCCTTCACTTTATCACATATCCTCCCCCCCAGCTCAGACCCATCGGGTCGAGCGACCTTAGAACACAAACCACGAATGTTCACGTCACCTGGGGCTGTACCAGCCCTGACTTGCTCCTCAGTTACAGAAAGTGGCCTATTGTAGATGGCTGCTACCTTGCTCCCTTGTAGTTTAAGGAACCCCCACCCAAGCGGACAACCCAAATAGTTAGCTGCCTCAAATCCTAGATAACACTTAGTGTTAGCGGTCAGACCGACAGCCCTTACATTATTCACAACTAACTGGACCTTCATCAGGTGTGCTTCCAAGTCCACCCTGTGAATCGCCACATCACCAAGGTAGGCAGCGGCATTCTCTCCGTGGGGCCAAAGTATCTTATTCATATGCTGAAAGGGGCTGGTGCACTATGCCACCTGAATGGCAGTACTTTATGTTGCCATAACCCCTTGGGAGTAGAAAACGCTGTCCTTCCCTTTGCTGTCTCTGTCAGGGGAACCTGCCAATA